GCGTGAGAATGTTATATCTCTGAAAGAGTTTAGGACACAATTACTTGCTGAAGAAGCTATTCTGGAATCTACTATTAATGTGCCATTTATGACTGCTATGGTTGCAAGTAATTCACCCCAGCGGGCCCCTAATCAATCTAATTTTGTATCTGGTGGATTCAAGCAATTTAATTCTTACAAAAACAAGGGCAGGGGCAGGTTTCATCAAAATAACAGGAATTATTCATCCAGGCCATATTTTCCCACCCAAACACATGTTCTTCAAACTCCAAGCCTGGGTGTTCTTGGTTCATTTCCTCATCAGCAGCAATCCAGTCCTTCTGCTCCCCCATTACTATCCTGTCAGCTTTGCAACAGTGATGGCCATTCTGCGCCATTCTGTCCATCAAATTCTCTTGCGAAGTTAAGATGTCAAATTTATGGCAGGTTGAATCACAGTACATGGTTCTGCTTCTACAATGACAAGGGTCCTAACTATATTGGTGCTGGAAATAGTTCATCTCACTCTCAGATGGCTTCTTATCAACAACACAGGAATCAATATTCTCAGATGTCTTCTTATCCACATCAAGGATCCTCATCACAGTTTCATGCCCAACAACAACTTCAGTCTCAAGCACCAATGCAAGCATTCCATACTATGGTGACACACCCATCTCCTCCAGTTGCATCTTCATCTAATTCTCAGGTGTGGATAACTGATTCCGGCGCAACAAATCATATGACTGCTGATCTCTCCAACTTGTCTCTCGCCTCTCCTTATCCCACTAATGAAGTCATTCAAACTGCCAATGGTGAAGGTTTGCCTGTATCCCACATTGGTAGTACTATTCTAAAACCATCTATACATACTATAAAACTGAATTCTGTGTTATATGTCCCTAAATTAACACAAAATCTCCTATCAGTACATCGAATCTGTTTGGATAATAATTGTTGGCTTTTTTTTTATGCCTTCTGTTTTTGGATCCAGGACAAGGTCACATGGAGGGTGCTCTATAAAGGGTTGTGCTGTAATGGACTCTACCCAATCTCATCTCTAGCCAATGTGTATCCTGCAACTTCTCAAAGCATTGTTCCAAATAAAGCTTTACTTGGTCAGCTTGTTACCTCTACTACCTGGCACAATAGATTAGGCCATCCATCTAATTCTGTTGTGTCTCTCATGTTGCATAAGTCAAAAGTTGCATTTACCAAAGAATCCAATCATGTTATGTGCCAAAGTTGTCTAAAGGATAAATTCTGCAAACTTCCTTTTGCATTGAGTGTCAATAAATCTGTAACTCCTTATGAAGTAGTGTATAGTGATCTTTGGGGTCCTGCACCTTGTGAATCTGTGGATGGATATAGGTACTATGTTACCTTCATTGATGAATTTACCAGGTATTCCTGGATATTCCCTTTGATTAATAAATCAGATATTTGTGCCACCTTTATTGGTTTTCATGCTTATGTTCTCACTCAATTTTCTGCACACATTAAAATATTGCAAAGTGATGGTGGTGGTGAGTACATTAGCAAGTCTCTTCAATCCTTTCTTTTCCAAAAGGGCATTTCCCATCACAAGTCTTGTCCTTATACACCAAAACAAAATGGCATGGCTGAGCGAAAACACCGACATGTTATTGAAACCACAATTACTTTGTTGCAAACAGCTAAACTACCTTCCCAGTTTTGGTCATTTGCATGTCAAACCGCCATTTATCTCATTAATAGAATGCCTACTCCCCTCCTACATAACAAGTCTCCTTTTGAAGCTTTATAGGGTTTTGTTCCAGTGATTCATCACTTGAGAACATTTGGTTGTGCTTGTTATCCTTTCTTACGACCATAAACTACTACCAAACTCCAAGCTAAGACTACAAAGTGTGTATTTTTGGGGTATGCATTAAACTTCAAGGGGTTCATCTGTTATGCAATTTCTCAACATAAATTTTTTGTGTCTAGACATATGGTGTTTAGTGAACATGATTTTCCTTATACAGATTTATTGACACAAAGCACAACCCACTCTATCAATTATGTTCCCATTACTGCTATGCCATCTCTGCCTGTGGACTGCTCACAGAATGTAGTCACCATTCCCTCATCTAATACGTTCATTCCTCCCACATCCCCTTTACTTGATACACAGAGCTCTACTCAGTCCATTACTGGTGCAATTTCACCCACTAATCACATCCCTGTGGCACTTGATCATAGTCCTGATTCACTGCAAGTGGTTCACTCCATACCATCATTAAATATACATCCTATGCAGACTAGGAGTAAGAATGGTATCAGCAAGAAGAAGGTTCTTTTGTCTACACTTGCTCCTTCTATGGATGTTGACTTGTCCATGTGTGAACCCAAAACTTACAAATCTGCTATCAAGAGTTTTGTGTGGTTTTAAGCAATGAAGGAAGAGATCAGTGCTTTGTATACTCAAGGAACATGGAGTTTAGTTCCTTTACCAACCAACAAGAATTTAGTAGGGCGTAAATGGATTTTCAAACTCAAGAGACATTCAGATGGTTCAATTGCACGGCATAAAGCTCGATTGGTTGCCAAGGGATTTAGTCAAGAACCTGGTCTAGATTATAGTGAGACCTTTAGTCCAGTTGTTAAACCCACCACAGTGAGGATTGTTTTAGCACTTGCTGCTCACTTTAATTGGTCACTCAGGCAACTCGATGTCAAGAATGCATTTCTCCACAGAATCTTGCAAGATGAGGTGTATATGGCTCAGCCACCTGGATTTGAGGATCCCCAGAATCCAACTTTGGTATGTCAATTGCATAAATCCCTTTATGGATTAAAACAAGCCCCGAGGGCATGGAATGACCGATTTACTTCTTTTTTGCCTAAGTTGGGATTCTATAACACATATTCTGATTCCTCATTATTTGTGAAAACTGCTGGTACCAATATTGTGATCTTGTTGTTATATGTTGATGACATTATCATCACAGGCAGTGCAACCACTGAGATGCAGCAAGTCATCAGTGACTTAACCTCTGAATTTGATATCAAGGACTTAGGTCCTCTTCACTACTTTCTGGGAATTCAGATTTCCAAGACTGGCAATGGTTTATTTCTGTCACAACAGAAATATGTGCAGGATTTACTTGTTAAAATAGAAATGCTTGACTCCAAAGCTTGTGAAACACCATGTTTGCCTTATAACAGATTACTCAAGGATGATGGTGAACCTTATTCTAATCCTACCTTATATAGGAGTGTGGTAGGTGCCCTACAATATCTCACGTTTACCAGGCCTGACATAGCTTTCTCTGTGCATCAAGTCTGTCAGTTTATGCAGAATCCCATGGTCTCTCATTTCACTGCAATCAAAAGGATTTTGCGGTATTTGAAAGGCACTATGACTCTTGGCATTACCTACTCTAAAGGGGATTTGGCAATACATGCTTTTAGTGATGCCGATTGGGCTGGAGATCCCAATGATCGGCGATCTACAACAGGGTCTGTTGTGTTCTTAGGAAATAACCCTATCTCATGGTCCTCTAAAAAGCAGCAGACCATATCCAGATCTTCCACTGAAGCAGAGTATCGTGCCTTATCTTCTACTATAGCAGAACTTGATTGGATCCAACAAATCCTTACATTTCTTCATTTTCCGATATTTGCAACTTCTATGTTGTTTTATGACAACCTTTCTGCTATAGCACTGTCTTTCAATCCAGTCCAACATCAACGGACCAAACATATTGAAATTGATGTACATTTTGTTCATAAGCGAGTTGCCAACAACAAGCTTTTGGTGCAGTTTGTGTCCTCAAATGAGCAGTTTGCTGATATCTTAACCAAAGGCCTTAGCTCCCTATTGTTTCATATTCATTGTAACAATCTCATGTTAGGATCATCCAAACATGAGATTGAGGGAGGATGATAGACATATGAGATACTGCCACTTGTATTCATATTAGAGAGTTTGTTAGGATTTGTGAGAAGTGTATAAATACTGTTGTATAAGATTACTTAGCTAAGAAGAAAATCAATATACTGAAAGTTTATGTTTTCTACTTCTCTCTCTCTAGAATCTCTAGACTATCTTCTTTCTCTCACTACATTTTCTGTAGGTTAACATTTCGGGAGTAGTTTCTGATAACATTCGTAGTACTTCTTGCCCTTGCCCTTACCTTGTTTTATATGCATTACATATTTTTTGGATTAATTGGTTACGTTTCTCTCAAATGTTTATTCATATTGGACTGCAATAACCAATCAAAACTAATTTTATGTGGATATCAGGCCACCACTTCGTGAAGGTCTAAATCCTTCAGTTGAGTCATAGAGAGGGTGGGGGCAAATTTGGTAGAACATTTGACTAGAAATTTAGTATTTCTCCTCACTCGTAAATAATGAGTTTGATATCTACTTATTATCCCGCATCTTAGTTGTAAATATATCGTTGTATCCAAAAAGTTAGTGCCTTACTAATCGACAACAACTTATTTTTCTTGGTAACTGCTTGATTCGAACTCGTGTTTCAGGAAGCTTGTACGTTAGGTACACCACCATGTGGTGTTCCTTGCACGTCTTTATTTCATTGACACAGAACACCACATAAAAACTTACATGTGTTTATAAACTTACACGTCTTTATTTCATTGGCACAGAACACCACTGTAGCAGTGTACCAATACCATACAAGTCCTCCAATTCTCCAACGCTTGGCGTACCATACATTTTTCATAATGGGATCATAGCGACACGTCTAACACAACTAATCATCCCATAGTACTTGTACAAGAAAGCTTTCAACTCACGAGCAGATTTGAATTTGAGGCTACCTTTCAACTTTTAGCACAATACCAACTAGCAGGGTAACAAAATTTTTGGGAAATAATTTTCGCACGTCCTTTTTTTCCCTCTACCACAATCCTGACTTGTGGAAACACGGTATTCTTGGGACCTGGTATTTGTTGTATCTAAATTTGTCATTCCTTTCTTCCAAGCTAAAATCTACGTATTCTTGAATTTTAGATGACACACCAAACTTACTACAATTGCCAATCAATCTTTCATTTTGTTTCATATTTTCGTACATGTTACACTTTCAAAGAACCTGGAAAGAAAGGATCAAAGGAAAATCTTCAGTCACACTCGCAATAGAACTTGAACTAACGACGAAACCAAGTGTTATTCGAAAACTTTTATGTGATTAGCAATCTGTTTCCGCAAGCAAGCATTCTTCCTCAAAGCTAATATTAACACAATCTAACCAAAAGAGGGGTTCATCGGTGATGCTTGAGACGGAAACATTCTACAAACTCGTATTCGTTTCTTCTGCGTGCAAGTGGACTATATGCTCTTCATTTACAGTAACACAACCACCATGGCAAGCCAGTGAAAGAATATCCAAGGTCTTCATACATAAGACACACAGATGACGTAAGAGAGACCCTATTTCATTTCGACCCGCTCCACCCCTGAGGAAGTTTCCATTTTCTATGCCAATATATTGACACTCTTGACCATAGCGGGAACCCAAAATTGTAATTGAGGGGCCGGTCAGCTGGCCCCCCTACTATCAAAGGCAACCATACATATCTTGAGTCTCTCAAGTCCACCGGGTTCCATCTATCTGCCATGAAGATAAATGAACCAGGAAATCCAGGCACAGGAAGCACAAATGTGCTCTGTGCAAAAAATGTAGCAAGTCGAGACACTTTGTTCCCTCCAGCACAGGGGTTTCCCATGGTCTCCCATGGCCCCATGATTGATTCTGTTGCATGCACCAGTGCCTCATTAGGAGCCCATCCGGTGCAGCCTGAAGTAATCATGTAATAAGTTCCTTCATGCTTGAATAGAGCCGGGGCTTCCCGATGTTGTCCCACAAGAATTCTTCTCACGGTATTTGTCACGTCAAGGTAATCTTCAGTCAGTGGTCCAATATGAAGTTCACTATTGTCCTCGGAGGAGTATATTAGATAAGCAACACCATCATCATCATCTTTGAAGATTGTCATGTCCCTACTATCAAATCCATGGGGTTGTTGGCTGTAGAGATAATCAAAAGGACCGGTTGGGTAATCACTAATGGCAACGCCAACAGAAGCTTTAGTATAGTTAGCATCATCAATGTGCATCCACATAACGTACTTCCCTGTATGCTCATTGTAAATCACTTTCGGCCTCTCAAGCACATTGGATTCGTGGAGATCATGTGTTTCATTTGCTTTTTCTGCTGTCAATACAACACCTTCATTTTTCCATTTCCATAAGTCGTTGGAAGAATAGCAACCCACTCCTATGATGTCAACCTAAATAATAGATAAGACAGAAATTCAGTGCTTGAATTAAAAATAAATAAATAAATAAAGAAAAAAAAAACAGAAGAATTAAAAGGACTCAAGTGCCGTGCAGCAATGGTGGAAAAAGTATGCATCCAATTTTAATGCTACATAATGAAGTCTGGAATAGCAACACATGGCTTATTGGAAAGCTAGTAACACTTGCTCATAAAAAAACACCATACCCCTCACTAAAATAAGTGAACAGTCTATTTCAAACATAAACTTTCAACACAACTATTTTCAACCCCCAAAGTCCATATCGAACAACTAAAACTCTTCTAGTTTTAAACAAATACAAGATATCATTTTGGGTGGTGCAATCCACACACCCACACCCGCTCTCAATTTGCAACCGTTGGATCAAATGAATTGAAGAATATCAATAGACAAAAATTAACAAGGGTGTGTGGGAGTAAAAAAGGGTGTGTGAGTAGCACTACCCTATCATTTGTAGTGGACGCAAAATTAATTAATACCCGAAAGTTCCATAATTTCCAACTTGAAGGCGATGGAGTTCAGATCCCACTTTTTGGTAAGATAGTTGTCATTGCACTTTAACTAACATGGTTGTTCTCACCTATGAAGGAGAAGATTGCATCTCTTCTGCAGATTCCAACATGAAAAAAGAAATGCAAATTATCCATGAGGATAATCATGGGTTGTCCTCAAATTCTCACGTACAGAAAAGGTCCATTCAAATGAGCCTTTATTCCACAAGTTAACATTATCTTGGGGATTCTTCATTTCTTCTTTGGTACTACAAATCAAAATCTTCACCAACTGGCTACTGAAACCTTCCTTTTTGCTTTGATTGATTACATAAAAGGTTCAAGAACTGAGAATAATATAGATAGAGTTCAATCGTAGAGCACAATCTTTCTTATCTCAGCCATAAGAGTCTAAAATTAAAACCCAGGTTCATAAATTATAGCATGGCGTTACAAAATATTCTCAAAAAGGTTTCAGCAGGCCTATTGATTTTTACATAAATGATTTACAGTTTGTTAATCCATATGCCTACATGAAGTTGCTTGCTACATCTTTAATATATCAATACATTTTGAATCATAAACCTTGAAACTGAACTTTAGTGATACTCAAACGCTTTCTCATTAGGATTAGCCAAGTTGCTGATTTTATAGTATTCACATGAAAGGCTCTAATCCATAGGAACGTGTTGCAAGGAACTGTTGAAGTGAGAGCACATTATCAGATGCAGCTAAGAGTTCGGTGGCTATCAGGGATGGCCCTAAGGGCCCATTATGAATTGAAGCGGCTCTTGCATCATCTTAGGTCTATTTTTTAATTCCTTTGTGGGATATGTTTTCTAATTGCTGTTGTGCAACTACTTCGTAGTATGTCTGTTTTTTCTTTAAGATCAACTGTCATGGTGTCACTGTACTTTGTAAATAGAAGTAACTCGTTCAATAATCAACTAGGGTAAATTTCTTTCTTACTCCATGTCATTATATTAGTAATAGAAACAGGGTCATGACTATAACAAGATGCCAATTATGCTGACAACCCTAAACGCAATTTTCAGGTAAATTTCTTTCTTACTCCATGTCATTATCTTTGTAATAGAAACAGTCATGGCTATAACAAGATGCCAATTATGCTGACAACCCTAAATGCAATTTTCAGTTCAAGAACCAACAAATATGGAATCACCATAGACTATTGTCTCCGGAACTTTGGTTCTTTGTTATTGTGCAATTATAAATGGTATTTTCGTTTTAACTTTCTACCATCCCACTGTACCTATTTAATTATTATAAAGTCTACTAAAGTAGGAAAGGTATGTACAAGGTAGGGGAATAAAGTCACATACAAAATACTATAGTAGTAGTAACCTGTATAGCAGCTATAATTCCATAATCTAGAGTTGATATCAACTAATATGAAGGCAACACTCTAAATTAGGTTCATTTGGGTCAGCATAGAAATATACTTGGTTTTCAAGGTTAAGTTATTCACAGAGATATCACATATGCAATTATGATCTATATATAGCATCAACTACATAACCCTGATGCTTCTATAGAAAGCAAACAGTTAGCGTGTGCAAAATAGCAATTTCATCCCTAAAAGCCACAAGGACTGATATTTTAAAGCAAAACCATAGTTGATCTTATGACTATTCAGAGGAAGGTAAGTCAATTACCCGAGCTGCTCCTTTTTTGTGAGCATGGTATGTGGGGCCATCTTTATACTCCCCGTACCAATAGTATGTCCTTGATTTTTCATCGAATAGAATACCACCTCCATGGGCTTGAATAGGATATCCATCAGTATCCAACCAAATCCTCCCAGGGTCATAGTAATAGCTATCATTTCCTGTGTCCTTCATTGGACCAATATCAAGCTTCTGGGGAAAGAATACGTGTCTAATTTGAGAATTCTCATCAAGAAATTCATCAATCAGAGTAGTTGGTCGCCTTGGTTTTCTTTTTTCAGCACGTGGGGATCGCTTTCGCGGCGGAGGAAGTTGGATGTTTTCCTCTTCCACCTGTTCAAGTTCCTGGAACAGTGGGTGATGACTCGCTCGAAATTGAATTGCTCCTCCTAACCTATCCTTTTGGCGAACAAGAGTGTACAGATGAAACATAAGAAGACATCCCACCAAGCTCCACACCACAGCAGACGTTGAACATCTGCTCCCTGCATTGCAACGGAAAGTGGTTGGTTTCCTGTATTTGTTCCTGATCGTCATTTTCTCATCCTTTTTATTCTCTCCAAGATAATGCTGCAATTAACAAAATGAAACCTATGGATATCAAATAAAACCCGAACAAATACAATCACAGGCTCACAACCACGCTAACCTATAATGCACGGAAGTAGTAAATCCGCTTGAACATTTATGAAAACAAACTTCAGCACAAATTGGGACTAAAACAGTCTCAAATGATTTAGAATTACACTTGTTTTCAAAGTGCTATACACTCATCAACTCTAGAAGAATCCGCCGTCAACGGCCGAATGTGCACAAGTCAATGTTACTCGCCCACAATCATTAACTAGTTTGTTATTCAGAAAGCACAGCAGTGCACTGTTAAATTTACTGCAATAAAATTTATTAAACACGAACAGAGCTAGTTGCAAATGAAACAACCAGGAATTGACAACAGAAACCAATGACTTAGACCCATTTTGGAAAACAGATTGAATCAACCAACACAACCAAAAACATGCATATCAGAGTCCAAAACCCACTTGAAAAATTCACCTAAAAACCACATTAACCACCACAGTTAAAGAATCCAGACATGGGTCTGCTAACACTGCAATAAAAATCAAAACTTTCACCACCCACAAGCAGAAAAAGTGACAAAAATCAAAGAAAGAACTCACCTGAAAACATCTGAGCATGAGTTTGTGCTGAAATTCCTGCATTTTGCTAATGATATTGTTGCTCGATTACTACTTGAACAAAGTGGGAAACCAAGAAAAATCCAGAGAGAGCTGAGAAAAACAAAATCCGGGCCCTTGTTTCCTGATGAAATTGGATCTGAAGGTTGATGACGTTGACTTGGGACCAAATGAGGTCTGTGCTGTTTGAGAAAGATATATCCGCAAGATTTTCAAAGGAAAACATATTTTCTTCCTGGATTCTGAATTAAATATTTTTACTACTTCAATTTACTTACTTGATGAGCAACCACTTATATTATTAACCAAAAACAAAATTCTTGCCTTTAAATTTTCACTGTAAACACGACAGGGTTCGTGAGTCCCAGTTTACGCGTGGAACTTCAATACCATTCAAGGTTGTGAAATTATTAAAATAAATAAATAAATAATGTGTTCACATATCTACTTAAAAGTGATTTTAAATTAGCCTTAATTTAAAAAAAATATATATACAAAAAAAAAAAAAAAAAAAAGAGATAACTGATGGTAAACCACGATTATCCATCTTTTTTTTAGGTCGGAAAGACTCACAGAAGCTTTTTAGCTCCCCTGGCTACAAGTCTGGCTTTCCTCACCAGTAACAAGTTTCAAACCCAAGACCTTCAAATTTTAATTTGAAAGAAGTTTCACAATCTATCATTTATCACTGGTGGTTATTACCTAACATTTTGAAAAGTGAACATCTATGAAGTTCATTAGCATCAAGTGATGACGTAGATAAATTAAATTGTGTTTTATTTCTCATATCATTTCTGAAGTTTTAATTATCCAAATTGACGCATTTTAGCCAAGTAAATTTACACTTTAACTTTGAAGAGATCGAACTGTTAAGGTTGAGGTTAATTTGAAATCACTCAAACTGTTAAGAAGTTTTCCCTAAACGATTTTTTTTTTTTTGTTCAAATTGGAAAGAAAAGTAAATAATCTAGGGAAAAAAAATCATAATATTTACGTAGTATTTGAAGAAATTTTCCAATTACTGAGGTGTATTCCATTAAATTTGGAGGTGTATTCAGGACGACATGATCTTGGACCTGTAGTTTTTTTTCTTTCTGTTTGGTGTCCGTCAAACTATGGACCAATGATTGTGTTTGTTGCTTAACAAAACAATAATATTGTTGTCTTTTGATGTGTATATCTCTTTCCTATCTTATTTTAATTAACTAACTAACATAAAAAATATTAAAACTAAAATTTTGCCAAGAGATTCTGCAATTATTAACTCTTAACTTTCCCAATCCCAATCCCAAGTATGCATAAGCTACAAAATTGAGAGAAAAATTAAATAAAATACAGAACAATAATTCCTAGAATGTCAATAAGAAAACGAAAAAATAATATATAAAATAATACATCAATATTTTTTTTTAATAAACGATATTATTTACATTAAAGGGAGGATGTGAACTTATCCTCACAACAACCTAGCAATAATGTAGTTCTAATTTGTTGTTGGCAAGAATTGAATCGAATACCTCTCACTTACAAGCGAAGAGGAATATTACCATCTTATTTTAATGTGTCTTTTGATGTGTCTATCTCTTTCCTATCTTATTTTAATTAACTAACTAACATAAAAAATATTAAAACTAAAATTTTGCCAAGAGATTCTGCAATTATTAACTCTTAACTTTCCCAATCCCAATCCCAATCCCAAGTATGCATAAGCTACAAAATTGAGAGAAAAATTAAATAAAATACAGAACAATAATTCCTAGAATGTCAATAAGAAAACGAAAAAATAATATATAAAATAATACATTAATATTTTTTTTAATAAACGATATTATTTACATTAAAGGGATGATGTGAACTTATCCTCACAACAACCTAGCAATAATGTAGTTTTAATTTGTTGTTGGCAAGAATTGAATCGAATACCTCTCACTTACAAGCGAAGAGGAATATTACTAAATTGTAATACTAAGTAGTAATAATACATCAATCTTATGTAAAGGCTTTTCAATCTAGTGGTAATTAATATAGTGTAGCCCCTTAGATATAAAACGTCCTACTAGTTTTATTAGGGAACACGGAGCATAACATTATATGTCTGTAGAATTAGAAGAACACTTGAAAAAATAAAAATAAAAATCCAATTGTATAATGACACGTGATATTCCGCTTTGTATTCTAGCAACATTGAAAAATCCCTCCTTATCTACCATGTTACATGATCAAATTTATTGTATTCATTTTATTTGTTCCAACTTAAATTTTAGTTTCTATAGTCCCTCAAACTCGACCACATATCGCAACATTAACCCCATTATTGTTAATATTCTCATACTTACAAGATATTAATCCGTTTGTCCCAAATTCTACTTATTCCAAACGTCTGGTTTAGGTAGCCACCACAAATTTTCCTTTTTGACTTGGGGAGTAACTAATTATTTGCATTTGCAAAGCTTTGATGACAAAGAAGAAAGGGTGGTGCTATTCACATATCTTTCTATTTTCGGTAATCGGATCGAATTAATTGAAAAATATCAATAGACAAAAATTAGCAAAGGGTGTTTGGAGAGGTATGGGTGTGTAGATCCCTTCTTTATGGTGTACACTTCAATTGATAAATTTCGATTCTCAAACAACAACAACAATAAAGTCTTTTCCCACCAAGTGTGATCGATTGTATGAATCATAGAACACTATTGCGCTTAGTTCTGTGCATAAATTTCAATTCTCAAAGAGAGAAAAAGATACAGCTAAGTACTTTTTGTATATACATTTTCATTTCCATGGATTAACCAAATGTCTTACGACAACAATGAAGTACATTTTTTTACTTTCCAATTGGAATTTACATAAAAGAAAAGAGGAGAAAGAATGTATATATAATTGACTTTCCTACTTCTTTGTTTCTTGGTTTTGTTTTGTTCTTCCCCAATTGAATTTTAACTTTCCTAGCTATGGAGTCACTGGCAAGCAAGGGATGATGGCAAATTTAGTGAAACATCTTCCCCTATCTTGAAAAACTTTGATGACCAAAATTAGTACTAAAAACACCATGGAAATGGCTAGGGATAGCATGGAGACCCATAGTATTTTCAGTGAATTCTTAAATGGCTTGCATTGATGCGAAACGACATCGGAAATTCCATCCTTAACGAAGGTGCAATCTGATAAGCTCTGCAGAGTTGGATATATATCTAGAAAATGTTGAATAGAGTGGCTGAAAGCCCAGGCCATGTTGTAGTTGTCCTGGGAAACAAGTTTTCCACTTCTTTTGCAATTTTCCATGTTTTGGTAACATGTGATTCCTGAAATGGCCTGCATGAACATGAATTTTCAATCAAGATAATAAGCTTTTGCACTCGCTAAAAACTATAGCATTCAACAATTTAAGAAACGTTTTTATACTATCAATTCATAATTTATTACTTTTGACCTTATTAGGTAGCGAGAATCACTATTTATCAATTTGAGTTTTATAAAATTTTGAATGTTGAACTTTAAATGGCCAAGATGAAGTCGATCTATGAGTCGAGATGTGATTCTAAATCTTATTGTACTCTTGTGTTCCACTCATGTGTAAACTCAATTTTAACCGTGATCTTTAGCCTTAATTAACATAGCTCAATTAGTTTTCTAAGGCCGTTTAGTAACTTTTTCTTTTTTTGGTTTTTAGTTTGTAGTATTTTATTTTATTTGATACATAAAATTGAAACAAAAGACTAAAACGCTGCTTTCATTTTCAAGGTTTGTTTCATGCACTCTCCTCCTTAATTCTCACTTTTCTTCCAACTATTGCTTCTTTATTTGTAACAAACATTTAAAGGAAAAGTTTACCAAATGAGTCCTAAATTTTTCAGAAACTGACCCTATAATTTACTTACTTCTGGTAACTTTCCAACTGGAATGCCACTGTTTGAGCAACTTTGTGGTACGTAGGTGTAGTTAGGTGGTCCGGAGAAAGGATTGCATATACGTAGAAATCCAACTGAATCATCATTTTCTTCGTTTACTCCAAGCGTCTTAGCAATTTCTGTCACTTTAGAATTCAACTGCATCATCAAGAGATCATATACTCAGATTTCATTAGAACATAATCTTATTAATCCCTTATTAATATGTTGATTATAAATATCTAAATGTATTGACATATAATACCTTATTTATGAAAGTGTGTATGGTGTAGCCAATTTGACCCATCAACTTCTCTGAGCGTGTAGCATCTAAGCATGGAAGAATGGAGCTTAGACTACTGTTGTGGCTGTTGTGTTCAAAACCCTCAAAAGCTGAACATGTATCTTTTGCAAAACTGCACATTTAGCAACAGATTAAAATTGTAGAAACCCTAAACGCATTAATACGAAACAAATTTCTTCTTACTAGTACCATTGGTAATGGAAAGGGAAAATTAAATTTTACTCACTTTTGAAGAAAGAAATCAAAGCCGGTTAAGACCCAAATTAGAGTTGTTAATATCCAACACAAAAAGATTACACTGAAATGAAAGAAGTTAAAGTCACATATATAGTTTAGTTTAATAAAGAAAGCAGAAAAGCAAGACCAAGGCTGAAAAGAAATCTTACATTACAAGTCCTGGGTACCAATGCAGCAACAGCAGAACTGATGACCAAAGCAGCAGTTCATTAGTCTAAGTAAGTTACATTTTAGGTACATGTTTGTTCATATATTGGCTATAAGATATGTTAAGCACCGCACACAAAAATCTTTTATAAAAGCAAAATAACATATGAATGATACTTTAGAATTATTTGATCACTACTATTTCAGTGTTTTTCAAAAATCCTCTCCAATAATTCCACTTTCTTATTTGTCCGAATCATAAAAATTGTGAGTCAGCTGCCAAACTGAGTCTAAATCACTGATCAAGTTGATTCTATCATAATATGTTGTTCTTATTCTATATTTGGCAAACAAATGTGTTATATGTTCTTGTTTAAACGTTTGATATCTGTAAATTAGAAGTAACTTGGTCACATGACTAATCCCAGCATCACTTCACAACAAAGAAAATTTACCAGTTGCAGCGACCAATAAGACCAAGTTGACTGCTACAACCACAATATGAGCAACATACCTACAATACACAGAAGGAAATCAATTATCCTAGCAACAAAATTACTAACATATTTTGTAACAAAAAATAAAATTACTAACATATTTAATTACTAACAGAAAATATTGCTTACGGGGTTTGAATAATCCGCTCAATTGTATGCCCATTTTTATCAACAAAACGTTGAATATCTTGCGAGTCTTTTCCAAGCTGACGGGATGTGACATTCAAACTGCTTGCCAAGGCTGGATCATAAGGCAGCAAAAGGTACTGCATATTTCCCATTGCGGTTGTTACTTTTCGGATGGTTCGTCGAGCATTTTGAGCCACCCCGATGAGGGCTCCCTTCACTTTTTCTGTTCTCTTCATTGATCTTTCATTTTCTACCAGCACCAAGCTTGATGCCGCTCTTCAATTTGAAAAAACCAAATAGATGTTAGAACTTAGAAGTCATCAATGAATAAGTAGAGGAAAATGATCACCTATCGTACGTACTAGTTTTGCTAAAAAAAAAAAAAAATTGAAGTCAATTCTAGAATCACCAATTCGGTATAGTGATTTTTATCTTCCCAATAATTTTGGTAAGTTATGCCCGAGCTAGGTCTATATCCAACCCAATATATAGCTTAATTATTATTTTCAGGTTAGGCAAAGCCCTCCTCATCAAATATCGAACCCCTAGCTAGGCTAACACCTAACATATTTTCTTATTCGAATTAATTTAAACTACTAAGTGAGAGATTCCGACTTGGAGTCTTGAATAAAATAATTAACAAATACTAAATATATAAATAATTACAAGAAAGCCGATTCCTGCAAAATATACTGAACCAATTAGCCCATTAGGCAGTTGTTAGTTAGAAGCTATCGAATTATCGACTTGTCCTAATCCTAGCTTTCCAACTATTGACTTGTTCTAATCCTAGCCCATTGGGCAGTTGTTAGTTAGAAGCCATCGAACCTAAGGAAGTTCGTTTTCTCTATCTTTTTCCATTGGAACCCTTTCATGCATGAAATGAAATTCACATCGATTGAGATGCACTTACATGGCTAGAATTGTAAAGAGGAGGAGGAGTATGAACATTAAGATGAAGTTACGGTCCAAGAAGTGTTTAATGGGGCAAGTGCTCCTAATGCTCGGCTTCTTCAAGAAGGCTATGCAAATCGTAAATACCAGGCCACACAGCAACCAAACTCCTGCAATCACGTACCCATGGACTCCTGTAAATGCCGTAGACTGGAAAATATGAGAGAAACACAAAATAAGAAATTCCATTTCATTACAAATTTTCTCTCTTAGGTTTTTCTTTAACCTTGATTATTTTTATTTTTCGTTTTCAAAGTCACCAAATTGTACATGAATGGTCAAATTAAGATCATATGCGTATATAAGGAATTAACTGTAATCTTCTTAAATTTTTTACATATAATTGTGTTACCATATTGTTAATCTACTAATCATATACATGCTAGATTGTGATCTTTCTCTAATCTATATAATACCCATTCGATTGCAATTTTTAATACATGTAGTAAATGAGGGATTGGAACTTACAGCCCAGTAATGTTTATTTGTGACGTCGTAGCCTCCATTGTAGGATTTTAAGTGGCGCAAGGGATCGGGTCTGTTCAAGCCACTCTGCTCCCCAAACACCACCCTAGCCGGGGAAAACACAAACGTTGAAACCAAGAAGACGATGAAGGGTACAAGAACCCCGTTCGAGATAGCCATGACAAAATAAATAACCTGCAGGTGCTCTAATAAGATTTGGTGCAAGATGATCAAATTAATTAAAGAAACACAATACCCTTTTGCAGGCCTCTTATGGAATTTAATCTTTTTGCTGGCTTTTAGAAGGTTGAAGGGTTAGATTATGCAGGTGTGACTTAGAGAGTAAGGTAAGAATAGCTTGTGGCTCTGGTTTTTGCGGAAAAGGAACAAATGTATTAGGAAGAGGAGGGGGTAACGAATCAGGGGGCGATATTTAAGCTCCTCTAAAGTTCATAAATTTGACCATTTTTATAGTGCTTATTCTTCAAATTTCCTGTCTAGCTTTCTGCCTAAGCCTCTCTTTACGCAAAGGGAGGGAGTTGCTTTTTCCATATGCATGTCATCAGCGTTATGTGTGTACGTGTTTTCCCATGCAAATTTCTAGGGTCGTAGGACTAGGCGGGGTGGAAGTGAGTGCCAGGTTGTTTGTGAATGGGATGTGGCACAAGTAGTTGGTGAGTTTACTTTTATGGTAATTTATATTTTACCTCTTCAACTGTGGGATATATAACAATTTTACATCTTATTTTTTGAATATTGCAATTATTAACAGAGAAGAATGAAGTATTGCTGAAGCAGATTTAGAGAGAGAGACTAGAGAGAATACTGTTGATTAAGTTTCTATAGAGAGAGAAGAATACAATGAAAAATGCTTACAAGGTTTGTTTATGTAGAGAAACTAACTACTACAAAAGTACAATACTACCCTTTTCATATCCTCATCCTTTCTAAAAAACCCAATCCTACTTAACAAACTCACAACTCCATAACCGAAAATTATGATTATTACTCCCCCCTCAAACTAAGCATTGAGCAATCTAGCTTAGTTTGCTACACAACTAATGACAATCCCAAGCCAAGATATCTGCAATGCTTCAAGAAAATAGGACTAAGTAATCCCTTGGTGAACACATCAGCAACATGATCTTCTGTTGGAATATAATGAACACTAATGTCACCTTTTTGTACTTTCTCACGAACAAAATGGTAATCTGTATCAAGGTGTTTAATCTTAGAATGAAACACCAGATTAGAACTTAATGCAAGTGCATACGGGTTGTCATAATGAAGGGAAGGAGGACTAGAGAGAAACTGATGAATATCTTTGAGCACAGACCGAATCCAAGACACATCAACGGCACATTGTGCTAAAGCTTTGTATTCAGCTTCAGTAGAGCTTTTGATTGCCATAAAATAGGATTGGATCCAATATAGACCACAAAACCCGAAATGGATCTTCGAGTGTTAATATCAGTAGCCCAATCTGAGTCTGAATAAGCAGTGATCTGAAAATTGAAACTTTTTGTATAGTGTAAACCGTAATTGACAGTGCCTTGAATATACCTAAGTATTCTTTTGACCAGATGAAAATGTGCATCAATTGATTGTGTCATAAATTGACAAACCATATTCACGGAATATGCAAGATCAGGTCTTGTGAATGTCAAGTACTGAAGAGCACCAACAATACTTTGATATTGACTTGGATCAGACAACAATGTACCTTCACCAACAAGAATCTGTGTGTGTGGCTTGGAAGGAGTAGATGTGGGCTTACAAGACTCCATGCCTGCTTTCTTCAACAAGTCTTTTGCATACTTGGATTGGTTAATGAACAGAGAGCCATCATCATTGTAATGGATATGTAAACCCAAGAAATAGTTTAGTCAGCCCATATCTTTGAGATCAAACACTTCTGCCAAATTGTTGATTATATCTTGTACCTTTGTTGGATTTGAACCAGTAAGGATGATATCATCCACATATAGCAGCAACAAAATAATATCTCCATCATCAGACTTGACAAACAAACTTGTACCTGAAAGGGATGGTGTAAAACCCAGTGCTGGAAGATAACTTGTAAACTTGGAATTCCAAGCCCTAGAAGCATGTTTTAACCCATAGAGAGATTTCACTAATTTGGAAACATGAGTTGGATTCTTATCATCAACAAACCCTTGAGGTTGTTGCATATATACTTTTTCTTCTAACTCACCATGTAAAAATGCGTTTTTGACATCCAATTGTCGCAAAGACTAACCAAACTGAGCTGCAAGTGCAAGTATAATCCTGACTGAAGTATCTCTGACAACAGGACTAAAAGTTTTAGAGTAATCAAGACCATGTTCTTGTGTAAATCCCTATGTAACCAATCTAGCTTTGAATCTGAAAATAGACCCATCGGGATTCTTCTTAATCTTATAAAATCACTTACTACTAACAACAGTTCTATTTAATGGATGTGAACTAAAATCCAAGTACCATGAGCTTGGAAGGCATCAAATTCCTCCTGCATTGCATTCTGCCATTCTTTCTTACTTGCAGCACTTTTGAAATTCTTTGGTTCTTCATGATCAGAAACATTAGCAAGGAATGAAAAACCAGGTTGATATAGATGTAAACATTGATTATCAGAATGATAATCCATTAGTTGTAAAGAAGACAACTCAGGTAGTAATGCCAGATAGCTACTATAGTTCTTCCTTGTAATTGCACCTATTTGTAGCTGAGTTTGCATCCCATGTGATCTTATAGGAACAGTATCAGATGCACTAGATGAAAGAGAAGTATTAAAAGGTAGGATTACTTGTAATTGTGCAGGATCCAGTACAGGAAGCAAGGGAGTAGTATCATTGTAAGGGAAAGAGTAAAGCCTGTTGTTAATGCTGATTCATTGTCCTGAGAATCTGTTACTGATGCAGTTCCATTGTCTGAGATAGATGGAGAATAATGTCTACTTACATTGACCTTAGCTAAAATAAAAACTTGTGGACTTGGAGATGAGGATGCAGTTAACTGAGATTCATGAATTAGACCATTGACAGGCTCTCTGTGATATAAAGAAATTTGGTATAATAACCGGTGTACATCTCCGTGAATCTGGACTTTGTACCCCACTTGTTTGAAGCACTATAGGTAATTTACCAGAAAACATGATTCATCAAATATTACATGTCGAGATATAATATATTTCTGAGTTTGCATATTAAAACAGATAACTCCTTTATATCCCATGGAATAACCTAAAAAAACACATATAGCAGATTTGGCTTGTAATTTATTTGCAACATATGGTCTTAACCAAGGGAACACAGCTGAGCCAAAAATCTTCAAGGAATGTACATCATGTATTTTCTTATACAACATTTGATAAAGAGAAGACATTGAAAGAGTCTTACATAGCATTCTGTTAATCAAGAAAACAGAGTGTGCACATGCAAAGTACCAAAAATCAGAAGCTAAACCAGCAGCACTGAGAAGTGTGATTGCAGTTTCAACTATATGTCTATGTTTATGTTCTGCCACTCCATTCTGTTGTGGAGTGAATGGACAAGAAATGTATTGAATAATACCTTTGCTAGCTAGAAAAGAAGTGAAACTTTTACTAACATATTCTCCTCCACCATTTGTTTGCAAACCTTTAATGTGCACCCCAAACTGAGTAAGTACAAAATTATAAAACCGCACAAAGCTTGGAAACATTTCTGATATATTACTCATTGGAAAAATCCACACATATCTAGTGTATTCATCAATTAGAGTTACATAGTACCTATAACCTTCTAAGGCCTTCACAAGAGAAGGACCCTAAATATCTGAATGCACTTTTTCAAATGGATAGGTACAAGTATCTGATCTAATTGGAAATGGAGTTCGAGACATTTTTCCCTTAATACAAGGAACACAAACACTAGACTTTTTATCTATATCAGCTACAATATTCAACTTCTATAACATAGAATTCATGATTTAATGAGTGGGGTAACCCAACCTCTGATGCCAAGTATCACACTTGATAGCTTTACCCATATAAGCAATTGGACTACGTGTAATAGACTGCACTCCTTTTTTCCTTTGCACAACCGGAATCTGGAACAGTTCTTCAGACTTACTCTTTCCTTGATACACTATTTCCCTTGTCCTCTTGTCCTGCATAAAGAATTCAGATTCATCACATATAAACCAGCTCTTATTGTCAGCACAGAGTTGTTTCACAAATAATAGGCTTCTAGCAATTTGTGGAACATGTAATACTTTGTTGAGAATAAGAGAGTGATTGTTAGTGTGTAAAGTAGTTGACCCATACCATTTCCAATGGTTATTTTCTCATAACCCTCACAAGGTGTAACTTGAGTCAAGGAATTGATGTCAGCTGTCATATGATGAGATACGCCAAAATCAACAATCCAGGCATCTTAAGGAATGAACTGAGTGGTTTGTTGAGCATTCATTGTAGATAGTGATGGGGGTGAAAGTTGACCTTGATATGAGTAATTCTTTGATAACAATCAAGAGCTGAATGTCCTCTTTTGCCACAAATTTGGCATTCAACAACAAAGCTTGAATTAGAAACATTGTTGTTCATGTGATAATAAGTGGCTGCAGTATGCCCCTTTTTGTTACAGATTTGACATTCTATCATAGTATTTGTCTTTGTAGTAGTATTCCCTGACCAATAATTATTGTCATTCTGCCTTGAGTTATTAGAACCATATCCTCGTCCCCTGAAACTGTTGTTATTCCTGTAATTATTGCCTCTGTATTGATTGCCATGTGGTGCTCGAGGTCCAAATTGAACTCCCATATTAGATTGTGCACCAAGAATACTTTGATCACTCGGATGACCAATAAAACCATATTCATAAGATTCACCAGGATACATAGGAGATGATGGTGGTGGAAAATATGTTGTAGGATCTTGTGAAGGAGCAGGATAGAATGGATGTTGGAATAGTGGTAGAGGCAAAGATTGATGTAATGAATTTTGTTGAACTTGAGAAATGGAACCATATGGTACTGCAGTAATTGTCCCCGCAGTACTAGCAGGAATATAATTGTGTGCCTAAGAATTTGAGGATGTGAACTCAAACTAGCACTTGATCTGGAACCTTGAACATATAAAGCAGATAAGTTCTCAGACAAAACATTAATCTCTTCTTCAATCTCCTTTTCTGCCCCCCAATAGTTGCGCTCTAAACTCCTTCAAGGTAATAGAAGACTCCCTAGCCAAAATGACTGTACGAATAACCCTATATTCCTTTGGCAAACCAGCAAGACCAGCAATCATTAGATCATTGTCAGATATAGAATCACCTGTAGCAGTGAGTTGATCCCTAATACCTTTTAGC